AAAAAGCTTGATGAAATGTGTTTTTAATTGGAAAAGCACCTTCCTCGAGCCCACTTTGAATGCCATGCCAGCAAATCAGCGTAATACTACAGCTATGGTGTGTCTTATGAACGAGCCGTGGTAGCATGGTGTTGCAGAAATTTGGCTGTATTCGTGCCGCCACACTTGGTAGTGATATTACTGCAACGCCTGACTTGTAAATGCATATTACGCCTTGGTGCAACAGAGGGAAGTGTCATGATCATGACCCATTTGGTTCAATGAGTTACTTCTTTCTTAAACAACTATGTGGAAAGACACATCTGGTGGTGGTGGGAAAGATGATGTCTGTTTGAGATGGGTCAAATCACTGGCTGAGAAAACATCTTTCTCAAAACAAGGAGATTGAAGAAATGACTAAATTTGGGATCCAACGCATTATTAAAAACTGGTCTGATGAGCTCTGATGGACCCTGTTCTAGGGTGATGGGTGCCTCAGGGTAAAAAGAGAGGCAGATGTTGTGATCATGCCTAGTGCCTACTATATAAGCCTGTGAAGGCAGTGCTCTGGGGTTACTGCAGTTGGTCAGGTCTAGGTTCAGCAACAGGATGTGCTCCAACAATGAGGTCAGCTATTTCATGACTTGTGGGAGGTGTCTAACCCAAGACATGCAGAATCAACACGACTGCTGTGGTGAGTAAAAATAAAGTCTCTTTATTACAAAAACGGGAACAGAAGAAGCATTGGAAAGTCCAGTGAGTTGATGACCAGTAGATAATAGTCCAGAGTCAAGATCTTGAGATCGAAGGGGATGGTGGCGACCCGAGGTGAGCGAGGGAGGGGGTCCTGGTGAGCGAGGTGGGTGAGGCAGGGAGAGGAGACGGACAGGTGCCGTGGAGGAGGATGGGACGTGGTCCTGAGGGTTCCGGGGTCTCTGGCGGCAAAGATAATGGAGATGATAGAGGGTTTCCTAGACATGACAAAACAGACGAGGGTTCAGAGACGAGTCCGAAGTCAAAATCCAAGGTCATCCAAAAACACGATAAACTTGCGAACTAGACAAGTACAAGTGGCTGGGGCTAACCAAACTGTGGCAATCATCCGGCGTCGAGTGGTGTCTCCATCCTCCCTTTATGCCAGGACACCTGATTACAAATCCAGCGCAGCTGGTGTCCCCTCCGCTCCTCAAATGTGGGAAAAGAACCTCAAAGATGGTTTATTTGAGGAGGAGCACTCACCTCGGCTTGTGACTTGTGACAAGCTGACTACCTGAATATACTGAATGACCAGGTTATTCCATCTTCCCTGATGGCACGGACATATTCCAAGATTACAATACCAGGATTCATCGGGGCTCAAATAGTGAAAGAGTGGTTCAGGGAGCATGAGACATTATTTTCACACATGGATTGGTCACGACAGAGTCCAGACCTTAACCCCATTGTGAATCTGGGCAGCAGTAGCTCAGGAGGTAGAGCAGGTTGTCCAGCAATCGGAAGGTTGTAGATTTGATTCCAGCTCCCACCAGAGAATGCTGCTATTGTCCTTGGGCAAGACACTTAACCTGCTTTACCTTCTGGTGTTGGTCGAAGAGACCAGTATTTGACAGTCTCGCTTCCGTCAGTGTGCCCCAGGGCAGCTGTGGCTATATTGTAGCTCATCATTACCAGTGTGTGAATGAGAGGATGACTGATTGTGTTGTGAATCTTAGGGGGTTATTGAACCCCAAGAAGGTGCTATACAAATACAAGCCATTTACCATCTTTGGGATGTGCTGGAGAAGACTTTGTGCAGCGGTCAGACTCTACCATCATCAATGCAAGATCTTGGAGAAACATTAATGCAACACTGGATGGAATTTAATCTTGTGACATTGCAGAAGCTTATTGAAACAATGCCACAGTGAATGTGCGTCGTAATAAAATCTAAAAGTGGTCCAACAAAATATTTGGGTGTGTGAGCGTATTTTTTGGTATTGACTTTTTTGGCTGAGCAGACTGAATACATATTTCAGATATCTATAAATCAGTCATTTCAATAAGAATAAAAACAACGTTCACTTCCAGACGGACACATTATGTGGACTCAACTTTAAGCTCCTGATATTTTTATGTTTAATTATTTAGCAGAAGCTTATACCCGAATGAACCTAATGTTAATGTTTTTGGTCTATAAGTACAACAAACAAGGAATTTTTGAAAATGAAAATCTAGAAGAAACACACACCATTAATTTTTTTGTCTTATTGGTACAATAAATCAGTCAACTTGCTGTAACTGCAAACTATCACTGCATCATGTATTTGTACTGAAATCAAAGTCAACGGTATATTGTCATCTCTGCTATTTACCACACAGGCAGAGAAATGATGGCCATCTATTACTTGTTTTATGCAGATCAAAAGACAAGCAAACATTGTCTGTTAGTAATGCAAAAGACCTCACAAGGATTTATTCCTAACAACAAACTTACAGAAAAACATCTGTTGGTTAAATAAAAGTTTAGTAGTCTTTAAATAGGTGAGCTAAATGAAACTAAAAGTAAAAAATCGTTCAGCTTTTTCTGTCAGAACACATTTTACGTGTTAATTGTATAATTAGTGTTCTTAGGATGAATGAATAACTGATTCAAAAGCAGTAGTTTAGAAGAAAACCCTTTTTTCAACCCTGCAGCTGAAGAGTAGGAAACACTTCTCACATTCACAGCAAAACAGCATTTATTGAATATTGGAAAATAACATACAAAGGTTTGTCTAACAAACATTTAATAAACTTTGTTATACAAATGTTTTTACACATAATCATCATAATAATTTTTAAATGTTATGTTTACATTTTTGCATAACTTGTTAAGAACAAATCCAGCTGTGCTTTAAGAACAGTGACGCCAGGAAAACATCATTAAAGTTAAATCAGTAATGTTATCTCAGATTATCTGGCTGCATGGAAAAATACAAGTTAAATGATTTAATGTGCAGTATAGCAGCCGCATGTTAGGTGTATGTAGAGTAAAAGAGCTTTACCTATGCTCTTTTCATTTTTTACTTTGTAAGATTTCTCTTTTTTTGCCGCCTCTGTCCAGTGAGCATGTATGGTTTCTATATTTACCATAGAATAAATCTATAACACATTATTTTCTATATACATTTTCTCTGAATATGGCACATAAGATGGAAAACAACCCACAATCTTTTGAATGTGTTCCTTATGACAAGTTTCCTGATGGAAGGAAAAGCTAATTGCAATAAAGCAGCTAAAGGGTTGCATATAAATATAAATTATCAGTTGATTTCTGCAGCTCCTTGACATTCAGCAACTTTCATGCTACTTCTTCTTATGTCTAACTCGTGGCTCACACCAATGAGCTGCGAGGAACCAAACCAGAACACGTGGGATGACGACTACCTGGGACCACACCTGGAATTTAGTAGCTTAAGAATCAGATCGTTTGTTTTCAGAGCTCAGAGACCAAAAATAGACATAATCACAACACTGTTTATATCATTGCTCCAAAGCTGATATGATAAAAGTGTAGGCTGGTTTATACAAAACTGCTAAATTAACTTAAAAAAATTATTGACATGAGATATTGAATTTCTTTCCCTATAAATTCTGCTTTTTCATAGTTTTCCTGATCACTTTTTTCTAGAATAAATCATTTAAGATGGTAGCATATGAAGTGATAAAAATAACAAGAGAATGAACTTTGAGGAAAGGAGAAAAAAATCTACAGAGCTATTTAGCTTTAACTGTTGCAAAAAGGATAAACCCATAGATAGATTTAAGAGGTAACATGAGTTTTCAGCTTTTTCTTCTGTAAAACGGTTCACTGGTAATGATTCTAATCTTTAACCAGAACGTTTCAGGCTCATAACTTTTTGCAACTTTAGTTGTAGGTCCAAAGCTGAAACATTTTTCACCACAGAAAAAAACTTTCCAGTAGGAAAAAAACATTTATGAATTTTGTTTTTTCTTTAGAAAAAGTCAAACTTCATAAGCTGCTTCTTAACATTGTAAGTGTGAGGAAACACATTTTGTATTTACCATAAAATATATTAACTCTAAAAAGAACTCTACAGTAAGAAAATGCTCATCTATAAACAGTTTGTGTGACAAAAAATCCTCTGGCCTCTTCCAGCTCCAACAAAAACAACAGTTTGATAAAAGCTGCCCTCCTGGGAGCGGAATAACCCAGATTTGTGATGTTCTGTAAGTGCACAGGAACCCAACAGTAAATAATGACATTGGCCATTCCTGAACCCTGCAATATGTTCTCAATTACAGTTATTCACAACGCAGCCTTCTCCCACATCATGCCATCCATCATAAACCCTTGTTGTAGGTTACCACTTTGCAATCCGTTGCCATGGCGATCTCCGGCTCAAGGCAAGACACCTCAATCTGCCACAAAAGAAAAAGAAGTGTTGTTAAAGAAAAAGAATCAGCTCTACCCTTCAGTTCTCAGTCCTTTTTCATTAGAGAACAGAAGAGACAGAATAAGAGGTAGTGCGGGGTTGTGAGCGCTAAGTGGGGTAAAGCTAATGTGAACAGCTGCTGCCTGAGCCATCTGGCCTCTACAGCAGCACTGACTGTACCTGAGACATCTGAGGAAACAGGCTGATGGCCACAGGCAGGGAGAGGCCGAACGTAATCAGGCAAACAACGCTGTGGATGGGCAGCAACAACCGACGGTTCCTCTGCAGGAATCGCAGTCTGAAAAAGTCGGGACAGTGATGAAAGGCAACGTGAGCCTTCAGTGTGGATTGATCCTGCAATGCCTGCAGTTATTTTTGGATCATGTGCACGTTTAAGGGAGCTGTTTCACTTAGCTGGAGGGAGGAAAACTCAGAGAAGGCTGAATGAATCAGACTGCTGATTTTATGGGAATTAAAAATTAAAGTAATTTTTAAGTGTAGTTATGTGAAGTTAATTTGTAGCAAAACATATGTTAGCTATAATGCAGCCCAATTTTTATTTAGACCACAGTAAATCCAACTGAATCCCCTAGTAAACCAAGAACCCTCATTGGTTTCCTACAGGGGTGTAACGGTTCACGGGTTTGGGGGGGTGGGGGTGGTGGTTTGAACCGTTTCAGTTCGGCCTGTTTGGTTTGGTCCACTTGCGAACCGTTTCGGTTCATTTTTTCCGCTACATAATGAATTTTTATTTGCGTGATTTAAGTGCAGCAGATAAAAGTTCCTAGGCGAGTTTCCGCACAGACGCTATATTGAGTGACGCATGATGGCTGCATGCACCCGATCTCCATTTAAAAAATGTGATCTGCAAATTCTGATCAGCGTCTTTCAGAGCGGATCAAACCAGCTGGCTGTCACTGCTACTGTGGAGCCTGTAGAGATGCTGAACTGAGCGTCGCCCCTCCCTCCCTTCTCTCACACTGCAGGCACACAGCGGCAAAAATGTAAACACGTCTGATGAGCTTTCCCTTGTGACAACTGATGTAAAGTTTTCATCCTATGACAAATACAGCGCAGAGGAAGCTGGTTATTTAAAAAGAGTTTTAACCCTCTGGAGGCAGGCGTTGCAGATTTGCAACGTTACTCCACATACGTATTTCATGAGCATTTTTAACTCAGAAGTACCCCTGAAGGACTTAGTTGTTCGTCCTTTTATCAAAACTTATTTTGAGCCCGAGAGGGTTAAAGAAGAAACTCTGGGCGGTGTGAGGTGAGTTTTTAAGGCTCGCTACAGAAATAAAAACATGGAGCATCAACAGTCAAACTCAACACTTGTCTGTATGAGCGTGACACTCATAGCTGCGCAAATAACCTGGGAAATAATTAAAGACATCATGCTAGATCAGTAGCCTGTGATGACACCTGGTTCTGCTCACTATAGGAGCCGCTTTAGATATTAAATAAATATGATCACAACATGCCCTATAGGTTATAAAAACTGTACGTCGCTTTGGATAAAAGCGTCTGCGAAATGAATAAACATAAACATAAACATAATAATAATAATAATATACCAAAAATTAATATAACCAAACTCTTCAAAACACTGGACCGAACCAAATACGATTTTAGCGGACTGTTACACCCCTAGTATCCCAGTTTCTCGACAAAAATAAGATAAAAACTAGTTTGTGCACAAGTTAGGTTTACTCACATTTTTGCAGAGGCCTGTTTATCTTTTTTATGAAATAGACAAGTTGTTTCTTAAAGGTCTTCACCTTGAAGGTAATAGCTCTCAGAGCTAAAAACTTAAAACATGAAAGTGGTTTTAAGTTTTCTTCAACATTAGAGGACGTCATTTGTGGTTTGATGCACCTTTACCTAACTACATGCTGTTTTTTAATTTATTACTCATGGGTTCTTCTCAGTTTTTAATGAATGCCCGGAAAACACAAACAGACATCTTCTGGCAGGTTAGTCATGTGACAGAGTGCCATTTCCCTTTTTTACTAGGTACTTTATACCTGTCAAAATATGCAACTCACCTATATTTTTAACCACATTAGACATCAACATATTTATTAGTTCCTTTGTTATTCAACTATGTATTTACAGATCAACACTGGTAATTAAAAAAATAAAACACCATTGTGTTTTTGCACCCACCTTTCCAGGTAAGACATGATGATGGGAGGCAGGACAAAGATGGGCATTGGAAGGACCACCCGTGTCAAGGCTGTCTCCATTATTGCCTGAGAAGGATATGCACACACACGTAAACGCTGATTTATATGATGCTGACTGGAATCAGCAGAGCAGATAATGACAGCTCATTTAAAAACCTCCCTGATAGGGCTGGGTGATATGGCCTAAAATTAATATAACTGTATTTTGAGGAGTTCACCTCAATAACGATAAATGTACGATAACTACAGCTATGCATAGAAAGAAAAATCTGTCCACTAGATGGGGCTGTCACATGCATTACTTGACTCACGTTGTCATGTGACTAGAGGTGGTACAGCTTAATTCCACACAATTCTTTCCATTTTTTATTACTAAATTTATTGACATGGGAAAATTATATTGGCTAGGGACAGAAATTTCAATAACAATAAATATTCTATTTATTGCCTAGCCCGACTCCCCAATGAGAGGCCACTCACGTGTCTTGCAGCTATTTTGGAGGATCCCACCACATTGCTGTTGTTGTCCAGGACATCAATCCCTTCAGACAGCTCACTGTGTCTCATTAGACCCACGTTACAGATGTTAGCACTTGCTGAAAAGGAACAAAAGCTCAAACATTAATTACAGTTTAGAAAAAAATTATAAATTCAAGTTGTTTCTGTTTGTTTAGTTTTTTAAAAGGACTGTAGGAAGAACTATATTGTAAAATGTATTTATCTAAAGACACTGCAGCATGAACAACATATAACTTCGATAAGAAGAAACACATGATAAGTAGGTTGAGGCCGTTGAAAACCCACCTACAGCTGGGAAGGGAACAAATCTCTGAATGATCATTCTGGTGGCAGGACTCAGCTTGTTGGCCTTCTGAATCAGAACATTCAGACCCACCTATAGAGAAGCAAACCCTAAATATATCAATGCCAGTCGTACTCACCTGGGTTATATCAGCTAAAATAAAACACATTTTTAATCTTGCTAAACCATCATTTTTAATGGGAAGTACTCTAAACTGTGGCTTCACCAATGACATTAGAACATGCTACAAAGAACTGAAGACTATAAACAATGATATAATGATATTTTTAAACAATTTTATGGATGTTTTAGTGATGAGATTTTAACCCTGATGAATTGCTCCCTTCAGACGGGGGTCTTTCCTGCTGCCTTTAAAGAGCAAGTAACGTCTAAATTAACTTTTTTTTGCTGATGAACTGTATAAATGAGTGTCTAATAGTGTTTTAAATGTGTGTATTCATTATTTTAGCATTTTGGTGCATTTTCTTTAAAAATTCTGCCTAAATACCACAGTATAGCGCCACCTTCAGCTTAAAACATAGAATTTGAGTCATTTTGAATAAATTTTAGCCAATGGCTAAAGAGTAAGATACTACGTAAACCAGTAGAGTACTATGTAGCAGCTCTGTGTCAAAGTTATAAAAGCAACGAGAGTCTCGGCCACGCCTTGTGGCGAGTTGGGAGTTGGATTTGCAAGCGAGTGTAGGAGGTTAGCCATAGTTCAGCATTAGCATATAGCATTAGCATATCCTAGTCTTTAGCATAGCTTTTTGTGTTATACATACTTATTTAGTGTTAGTTTGGCTGTTGGATATTGTAGTTTAGTTAGTGTTTGGCTGTTAGTGTAATTAAGAAAGTAGTTCAGGTTTAGTGCTCCATATCGTGTTAGTATGGTGAGAAGGTGTAGTGTAGTATGGTTGCGGTGGCTCTGTGGGGTTGCACTCCTTTCCGCTGGACTTAGAAATTAGGCGCCAGTGGTTGCGTGCAATCGGTGTCTGGAAAACATTCAGCTCCCGCCTGGTGCTATAGTTTGCAACCAGCATTTTACCCGCGATTCTGCATGTCTCCGTTTGAAGAGGGAGGCTGTGCCCACCGTGGCTCTTCCGCGATTTAGATGCAGCCCACCGACTCTGCTCCCCCACCACGGCGGGCTCCAGTCTGAGGTGAGTAAGCTAAATAAAAATTTTAACATCTTCTAAAGACAATTCCCTACCTAAATGCAAAGTTTAAGAGATGTGGTTCACTCCATTTAGCTAATATCAGCCTGCACTGCCTTCAGCCTAATTTGTCAAGTTCACAAAATGTGGAACGGGATGTAAGGTTAGAATCAGCGGCGAATCTGAACATATCTCGAAGCCCTGGCCGACAAAACGGTCCACATGGCTTGGAGAAAATTTGGGTTGTTTTTGTGTCAGTCGGTAATTCTGCAACAGTGACTAACGAAGCACTAGTTGACAGACAGCATTACAGCGTGAAATCCAGCTTGTGACCCGGTTCCATGAGGAATTCTGTTCAGGAGGTCGCATTTCAGGCTCTCCACATCATATGTGACTGACTTTTACGTTAGAATAACGATCACACACTAGGAATGTTATAAAGCGCCTATATGTTTCTTTTGTATATTATCTGACTTTATAAAATCCAACAACAAAGTGCTTCTATTTTTTTTTTTTTCAGGTTAAATCTACCCAAGACACTGGCTGTCAGAATGCACTTGTCCAGGCTGACGTGAAGCCTTACACGTAGCAATGGTTACCTTCTAGTTTTAATTTGTTTTACAGATTATTGTTACACGTGATTTTATGCTCTTTTAAACATTTATAAATGTGCTACTTCTTTGTTTTTTACATAGCCACCCAGAATAGAGCTCACAGTCTCTGTGGGTCTGGTGACCCACAGAGACCATGACGGAAATTCATCTTCCAGAAAGTCCCAGAGCAGCGTCCACACCCCTGAAAAAACCAAGATGTGAGGTGTCTGCTGTTGATTCCAGCTTCCACCTCAGTGACAGTGCAAGCTCAGTGAACTGTTCAAGGTAAAAAAAATTAAAACATTTCAGAATTTTTAAGACATTAACAATTACATAAGTATGTGATTACATCATGACATCATGAAGGAGGCTAATGATTCTGGCCCTGACACTTGGTGGTGACGTGTGAGCTGATTCACCTGGTAAATAACTTTTACATTAAATATTTTGTTTTTGCTATCAAAAGTAAATTAACTAATAACCTTCATTATTGCAGGACACTCAGCAAAATATGGACTCTACACCATGAGGCAGGCACACGTTAATAACTCTATAAGAGCACATAAGGTGAGCAACACCACATATTATTGTTATTATTGTACACTGTCCTGGATTTGTTTTCTTTCTGCATCTCATCATTAGCCTGGCTGATCACCTGATAACTCCTGTCATCTGGTTGTGACAGCATGAGGATGTCCTCACACACCTGTAACCTATCAGCTCATCTGGCAGAATAGAGAGAGAAGAGACAACACCACATCTCCTGTTCCTGGAAAGCCTTCAGCCATCCTTCGATGACTGAGAACCTCCATCAGCTCTGTCTCCTGTCTGCCTACAATTATTATAATAAATATTGTGTTTGACAAGTTTTTTGTGCTGCCAAATATCTCATTTTGATTCCAGTTTTGATATTTTAATGGATATTTATAAATTACATTAATTTAATTATCACATTGTTGCATGTTTAACTAGCTCTATTGTGATTAATTAAACTAGCACCTCACTGTTAAAAGCTTGTTTTAATTTCAAGCATGTTTAAGTATTTATGAACATGAACAAAAACAGGAAATATATAAATTGAGATTTATTTAATTAATATAACAAATAAGGGGGAACGAGTCATTGAAAGGCACATTGTTCTGGAAGCTCCTGATCCTGACGACACCAGCAGAGGAGACCAGCTGCAGACACCAGAGGATCACCTGCAACCAAAAGAGCAGCTAGTATCAGTAAATAAATAATGAAATCAGGGCAGTTTTAGTGGGCTGAACACATTACAGAATAATTTTCTCATGGGGTAGTGTCATAACTTTCTATGCAGCAGACTAACTTGAGCCCAGGGCTCCTGGAGAGCTGCTATTCAGCACGTTTCAGTGGTTTTCCTGCTTTAACAGGTTAGATTAGCTGTTAAGCAGCTCAGCTATTTGTTGCTGATTAAAACCAGGTGTGTTGAAGCAGATAAACCTCTAAAACATGCTGAATACAAGCTCTCTAGGGCCGTGGAGCCAAACCCTGCAGCTAATCCAATGCTATGGCTAATGGCTACTTACCATTCAGAGCTGGTTCTGTTGGGTCGGTTCCGCTAGTTTCAGGCAATTCACAAGCTCAAAACAATAAGGCTCAGGTCTGCTTGTCTCCTCCAAATAGACTTGGTCCCTTTCTTCTCGAGTCTCTGGGTAAGGAGGGGGAGAAACGTCCTCCACTTCTAATGACTGCTCAGAGTTAAGTGAGCTAGCATCGTCTAGTTAGCCATCGTCATCATCACTGCCGCGGCTCCGCCCTCTCGGTCCTCCAGGCAACGCCTACTAATGTTACAGTTTTTAAAATTGATACGTGGGTGGAGTAAGACTCTGAGGGGGGCATTACCACGTCTTTAAAAGGGCGGTGGTGAGGCCCCTGTTGAAGAAGAGCAATTTAGATTTTAATGAATTAAACAATTATGAACCGGTATCCAACTTATCATTTTTAAGCAAAATTTTAGAAAAGTTGTTTTAAATCAACTAAATGATTTTATAAACACTAATAATGTCCTAGAGAAATTTCAGTCTGGTTTTAGGGTGAACCACAGCACCGAGACGGCTCTTCTGAAGATTTTAAATGATTTTAGAGTAAATTATGACAAACAGAAGTTGACAGTGTTGGTTCTACTGGATCTAAGTGCTGCCTTCAATACAGTAGACCACACTGTTCTTTTAACTGTTTAAAACAGATCAGCCTCTCTGGTGCTGTACATAGATGGTTCACATCCTACCTCACATACAGGACTTTCATGGTGAGTTTGGAAACCTGTTCCTCTAGGGTCCATGGGATTACATGTGGTGTGCCCCAGGGTTCAATTTTAGGCCCAGTGCTTTTTAATCTTTATATGCTCCCTCTTGGCGGAGTCATCAGGAGACACGGGGTTAACTTTCAAAGTTATGCTGATGATACTCAGTTGTACATCTCCATGTCTCCTGATGACACACGGCCAATGGATGCACTTTTTAACTGTATTTTAGACATTGAATCCTGGATGGCAGAGAACTTTCTCCAGCTCAACCAGGACAAAACTGAAGTTTTAGTCATTGGTCCTGAGGCCCAGAGAGAGAAGCTTTTATCGAAATTACAATCTCTGTATTTTAATCCTTCTGAACAAGTGAAGAACCTGGGTGTGATTTTTGACTCTGAGCTGACTTTTATCCCACACATTAAAAATATCACAAAAATAGGTTTTTATCATCTAAAGAACATTGCCAGAGTCCGCCCCATTCTCTCTCGGGCCAATAAGGAGATGCTGATGCATGCTTTTATCACCAGTAGGATAGACTACTGCAATGCCCTGCTTTCTGGTCTTCCTAAAAAGAGCATCTCAGGCTTACAGCTTCTACAAAATTCGGCAGTACGTGTCCTGATGAAGACCAGGAGGCGGGAGCACATTACACCAGTTTTAGAATCATTGCATTGGCTCCCCGTATGTTTCAGGATCAATTTTAAGGTTCTTCTAATGGTTTTTAAGTGTCTTAACGGTCTTGGGCCTTCTTATCTCTCAGAACTGTTTTCACCATATGAACCCTCACGGCCTCTGCGCTCCTCTGGCAGGCGTCTCCTGGTCATCCCTAACGTCAGGACACACACTCACGGCGAGGCGTCCTTCCAGTGTTATGGCCCTCGCCTCTGGAACGAGCTGCCGGAGGACCTCAGGGCTGCAGAGAACGTTCATGTTTTTAAGTCCAGGCTCAAGACCCATCTTTTTAGGCTAGCTTTTATCAATATTTACTACAGTTTTATTTCTCGTTTTACATGATTATATTTTATTGCTTGCTTTGCATGTTTTGTATGATTATATTTTAGCACAGTTTAATTATTTAATATTATTATTTTACTGTCTATATTATTTTATTTATTACTTATTTTCTAACTTTTGTCCCTTATATTAGCTCTTTTGTTATATTTTTTACTCATTTTAATCCAGTTTCCTCTGTAGGGGCCCTCTGCCCCGGGAGCGGTGGTCGACTGTAGCTTCCTGGGCGCTCTATAGGTGGGGGTCTCTACTCCCCCTCCACTGAGCGCCCTGACTTAGTGTGGAAGACCTGATGCTGCCGGGGCAGACGGCTCCTCTGATGGCATTTCCTTGCCTTACCTTACTTGGCTCATCTGGACTCAGCCAAATATAATTTTTACTTGTGTGTGTGCTTGCATATGTCTGTTAATGTTTTTAACCTGATATGGGAATCTGGGGTCATTTTGTAAAGCACTTTGAGTAGCACTTTGTTTGAAAAGCGCTTTATAAATACATCTGATTTTTATGTTTTCACAGAAAAGCAAACACTCACTGCTATAGAAACAGCACTTGTCACTGCTCCAGCATAACCCTGAAGAAACTTGGATGCTGGTGTAGGCTGAGGGTAGAAATAAGTTTTAAGTTAAGAAGTTTAAATTTATAGCAAATAAAATAAGATTAGAACACAAGGATAAACTAATAAAAATGTCTTTGTGCAAGTTTTTACCTTGGTAGCATTACGGTTGGCATAGTTCACACAGGCATTATGACTCTGGTTCAACCACTGAGTAGAGGAGAGAGAGAGAGATTCCATAATTTTTTCTTTGTCACTGTTATGAAATATTATATATTTACTAAAACTATTAACTAGAAAGTATAATGAGCCATTAACCACAGATAAATATAAAAAGCATGTAAACATGTAATCAAACACAATGTGCCTGAACTGCTGTGACTTCTTAGAAATCAGAGCTTTTTTAAGATGGCAACAACACTAATGCATCTGAAAAGGTGATCTTTGAGTCTGCTAGTAAAGCACCTTGATTCAAAAAGATGTCACAGTGCCAGCAAACCCAACAATAATGTATAAATGTAATAAATTAGTCATCTGGTCTAATGGAAGTGACCAGTGGTGGCTGGTGAATTTTTTGGTGCATTTAAGCTCTGTTTTCAGATGCGATAACTACAAATCACCACTAGGTGATGCCAAATTACCAATCCTATGATAGAATCCACTTTTCTACTTCAACAACACACAGTTATGCTAAATAAAAAGGCTGAAAAAAAAGCTAGCACAAAGATTGCTGCACCCCAAGAAATACGTCACAAGATGATTCGGGTGTGGCAAAAGTGTGAGAGAACATTTTTAAACTACACTTAAATGTAAATTATACACAGCGCTTATAGTCTGTATGATGTATAGACCGTTTAGTTTATTTTTCATGTTTTTTTTTTCTATTTTGTGAACCCTATCTTCATCATCTTCTTCCTGTGAGACTGGCGGGGCAGCACCCCAGCACCCCAGCACCCCCTATTGACCACTAGAAGTGATATAGATAAAATTGCCCTGTGCTATTTACAATATTTTCTTAATTTGTGTTAATCTCACAAACATCTATATTCAGTATTTATTTCTTGCTCTAAAACATTTTCCTCTAAACTGGAAAAAGAAAAACTGGAGATAAATCTATAAAGTACTTACGTTTTCTACTTTTAAAAAGACTCCAAATATTTGACCAAAATTATGAAAAAGAAGAAACACAGAAAACTCTAAAAGTGTCACATGCTTTCAGTCACCACAGTGAAACATGTTCATCTACAGTACCTGCCATATAATGGTGGACATCACAGTCTGATTAGGGAGAAGAAGACCAATGACCTAGATGAAACCAAGAATTAAGAGCTTATTTTGTGACAAAATAAGCTCCCAGTTTTATTTCATCTGTCCATGACCGTGTTCATGAAGATCTGTAATGCTGGGCACGTTTCAAGACATGCATGAATTAAATGTGGCGTCCATGTGAGACTTACAATCGGGGTTCCAAATGGTACATAACCTGCACAGTGAAAACATGGGTTTTAGTGTAAAAACAAATAAATAAACTAATAAATAAAACTGACAGATGAACACATTTGCTGGTTTCACAAAGATCTTCATCTGAGGACACACCTGACATTCGAAATGGCATGAAGATCTTCTCTCCTGTGTCGGGGTGAATGATGGCCTGCAGCAGAGAGCAGGAAAGCTTCTTCATGCTGTCTGCAGCTCAGACTGTTGAATGGATGATCAACCTGAAGCAACTTATGACTCACTTACCTGTTTGATCTTCTGAGCTTCCCATAACTAAACAAGAAAACAGTGAGTTAGTTAAGAAGAAATATGGGTAACTCTTACTTTTAAGAAGCTGACATTTTTCTTCTTCTGGAGTTGTGAGTTATTGTTTAATGTTGATTTAGTAATTGTTTGGTAACCTAGAATCCAGACCGTCAGTTTGCCGAGAAAAAATTATTTTGCTCTGCGTTGGTCTAGCCACGCTCCACGGGAACCTCTGCAGCCCCAAACAGTCTGATTTTGGTCCAATCACAGCACTCGGTTTGCTGGTATATTAATATTATTACTATTAGTGTGAATGAGCAAAACTAAGATGGTGGCAGCTGGTTTGAAATGGCTTTGACATCAACTTTGGACTTTTAGACTTTTCTTTGAGTCAAGAGCAGACAGAAGTACTTAAGTCTTTTATTTAGGAAAATTATGTATTTGCATCTTCTTCAACTGTGTGTGGCGGACCGCCCTGGTGACTGACATCCGCAGCGGTGAGTACATCACGTTTAGAGTTATCCAATAGCACGCGGAGACTGTTTGAAAGGGAATCGTAGATCCCACCCCATGACTGAAAGTCATCAATGGTTATGGCCATCCTATATTTTCACATATATAGGATGACTTACCAAGCTAAACGTTTGGCGTTGCTAGAGCTGAGTGTGCTCATTTTATAATAACAGATCAGTCTTTTTTTTTATTTATTGATTTATTTTTCTTATCAAAACCAATTTTAAATTTACAGTAATATTTAATACTTTACTACTTCTCCCCCTACTGGTTGAAGGCAGATTTACAACAGTCATAAACAACCCTGCTGTTGCTTGCCCCAGATTTGCAGAAAACGATGACTACAGACAAGGTGTTTTGCATGTTTTTATGAATTTATGATTACTGGCAGGTCAGAAACAAAAATAGGACTTTGCTTGTCTTTTTAGATGGGTTATAACTGCAAAAGTGAACTGACAAAGCAACAATAACTAGTTTGATTAACACAATTCCTTCAGCTTAAATGAGCGTAAGTTACAATGTTGTACACTCTGGTTTTAACTCTTTATTTCAAAAACTTCTTCTTCTTCTTCTTATGCTTTTTGTTGATGCTAACTGAAGCTAACTGCTAGACTTTATGTGAGCTACCAGCACAGTAAAGCAGGTAGAGTCCTTCCACTAGTGCCAACCCAACAACAATGTTGTTTAGTGCAGTTTCTCATCAGCAGAGGACTGCAGAGTGCTGTCCGGTGTGAAGCTACTCAAGTTTCTGGTTCAACAACCACTAAAACCAGTTTGAAAACAATTCTGTAAAGCATTAAAACTCTAGTTTTGTTTTAATTTGCATTGTTTTAACATTGGCAAGCACTCACTTGCTGATCAGTTGTTCCGGGTGGAAGGGTGCCGTGTTTGTAGTCATCAAGAAGTTTGATGCATTCCTGCAGTTTTTCCTGCAAAACAAACAAACAAGAAAAAAAATCACAAATTCTTGTTTTTGCATTTGGGTGGAAATAACTGAAGCTATTCAACAGCAGTGAAGATGAACAAATATTAGCATTTATAACGAGAATTTCACTGTTATCATGATATCTATTAAAAGCTGAAAATACAACGCCTGACCAATGTCAAATTGTCATGAAGTAATTGTGAACATTTCCAAAGTCTGAATGTTCAGATCCAGCTGCAAAACCTCCAACAGTCTTGTTTCACATTGTTTACATTCCTTTGAGCAATGAGCCAGCTGACTGATAACGAAAACAAAGTAAATGTTAGATAACTAAATACCTACAACACGATGTAGACACCAGTCAATGAAGCACAATTACAATGAGTTTTACCTGTGAAACAAACAGGGTGCTGGGGTCAATGATTTCTACAAAATGTCTCAGACGACCAAGGAATGAACTCTGGAACAGACAGTAAGACAGAGTTAAATATTATTTAAAGTTAACTCAAAAATCCATAGCAATAGTACGCTAAAGGTTTTCCTGATTCAGCATTGGCTTCCTCCTGTGTTACCACATAAAAGGTTTGTGATAACGCTGTAGGTTTCAACTACCTACATACACAAATTAGTTATACAGAAAATTCTTTTTTACATCCCTTTAAATTATGTTTACTACCCATTAGCACATTTATGCTATGAACATTCTGCATATTTACAAGGACTCAAAAAAGAAAACCTGAAACTAGCATACTGCTCGAAATGTAGCTTTGTGGAAAACCGAAAAAAATGTTTCTCCTAAACAGTCACAAAAATATTTAGTACCGTATTTTCTGGACTATAAGTTGCTACTTTTCCCTCGCTTTGAACCATGTGGCTTATAATGAGGTGCGGCTTTAGTCAACCAGAAAGGATGGACGCTGGAAAGTCTAATGAAGGAATGGTTAAAGGAGTGCTACGGAAAGCACCCAGGAGGATTTTTTTCACAGTAAAACGGTGCTGCTTGTTTTCCCAGCTTCACCCCGGGATGATGACAGCAACACGGACAGCGACACTGACATCGCCACAGAAAAGGTATGTGACGAAGCTCTTCTGAGGCTGTTCAACTCCGACACTGAAGAAGATGACTTCAGTGGTGTCAGTGCGCAGGAGGACGATGAATAAACTAATCAATAACTTTTCAGTTTTGTTTGATACTGATCAGTTCAGTTACGTTCAGTTAAACTACGTTTTCAATTCAGTAGATATCTGCGGCTTTTAGCCCGGTGCGGCTTATATTGAGATGCGCTCTATGGTCCGGAAATTACGGTAATGTGTAAAATACAAGTCAAATAAAAACATGATCAGAACACATAAAAACACTAAAAATAGAATCCTGGAAATTATTTGTACGGAAAAAGAGAAAAAACCTAAGTGGAGAACACAGATTTTTTAAACATATTTCAGGACAGATAGGACAGAAAAACAGTCAAATAAAAAAAATTAACAAAGTGTTTGAAAAGGAAAATGTAGGTAGATTTATTCCACTACATCATCTATAAGCATTTAGTTTTTATATATTATTTAGACCACCTTCAAAACACAGTCACACACCTACGGTCATTTCAAGGCATTTTGGGGGATAAAGGCCCCTAAAGACCCACCCCATCTCACAAGGCTCCCCCGGAAGTCTCTGTGTGATCCGTACCTTGAGTAAGTTGATAAGTAAATACGTGCATTTGACTGTAATATTGAGTTGTTAGTAATTTAAATAGTTAGCTTGAAATATGTTTAGAGCAGACTATTTTCCTTAATTCACTGTTAGCATTGTTAGCTTTTAGCCTTCTTCACCTGATGTTAGAGTAAAACGAAAAGGCCGTGGATTCTTAGGGATACAAGAAATAACTTCTGGGTCGCTCCTTTACCGTTTATCACTTTTTCCATAATGATGGTGCTTTTTACCAGATAGAATCAAATTATAAATGCCTGTGCAGCAGCGCTCACTGGAGCAGACTGGACAACCCCATGGATTTTGATTGGCTCTATAACCAGGAAGTATGGAGGCAGGACAGATTGTAAATAAATACTACGTCCACTGTGATTGACATCTGTACTGATGCATTTTTAACGAGCTTGCCCCACCAATTACATCACTCTCACAGAGTAAAATTTAGTTTTAAATTTTTGCTGCAGCACCAAGCTCCCACAATGTGGCTCAAAAATTGAAGCAATCCCGGAAGTACCAAAAATTGCAGTTCCACCCTCATCTGCTGGGGGCTGGTGTCAGAAGCGAGCAAATCCTCATTGACTCCCATGTTAAAAATACCAATTTCACAGCAAAAATAAACATGTTTACAGCCTGGTACCAAAACATATTTTTGGTTTAAATTATCTAGTTTACACTCATGACAACTCTGAGGGGGGTGAATTTTTTTCTTACTCTTCTGTTTAAGTGTATTAAAAGCCTAAAATTCTGTATAATTAATGAGCATCCGACCCACGTGACCGCCATGTCAGACCCACGTGACCACAGAGCTAGCTCCGTGGAAAGGCCTCAGTAAAGCATCGGTCTGGCCTGGAAACTGTTCCAGGATTTTGAGTCTCTGTGTTTGTTAGGGCTGTAGCGAAGCCTCGACGACGTTGACGGCTCGATTCTAAAAATGTGTCGACGTCAGATCCTGAAGTCGACGCACCGCGCCCACTTGTTGCATCCCCAGGAGTTTGTAAATAGAGGAGGAATCTGCCTGTTTTTCCTCTAGTTCGCCCTCTTCTCCGCCTTCACTAACATCTCCGCCAAATACCGAAGAACCGGAACAATGTCCGTCCGCTACTAGATTCCTTTCCTGTTTTGGCTGCCTTCGTCTCCCGGCAACGGACAACAACTTCCGGGATTAGATGCGCTGCTTCGTGTCTACCGCAGATGTAGAAAATCACCGGGAGCGTTTCTCCCTTCATAAAGGAGCTTCTTTCGGACATGAGGAGAGCTGTTTTGGTGGTAGCAGTCTCTCCTCCGTGCTGGTCTGTTTGCTGCTGGGTGTTTTTGGTATATTTAAACTTGGTAACTTGAACTTAACGTTGGTAAAGCTACTGTTAGCATTTTCGCTAACAGCTTCTTGCGTTTGGATAAGCTGTTACGTTTTGGTTTAGAGTTCATCTTTTTTGTGGTGTAGATCTCCCTTTTATTACATTTAGAGTGTTGTGGGTTTTCAGTTTAGTTTAAAATATCACCTTGAGTTTGGTTTAACTGCCCAGTTTAGAGTTTGGATCCCTACTTATTTGTACTTTGTTTTAATTCCCCACAGGCAGAATTAGTTTTATTATTCCCAACCTGTGGATGGAAAGATTTATGATTTTTGTTGTTGTAAATAAACCTGATCATCATTTTAACTTTTAAATCCCGTTATTGTCCCTTCCTTTTTGCACACGAGCCAAACTCCCCAGGAAGAGTCGTAACACCACTCCCCTCCCGCACATAAGTGACCAAAATAAAGCAGCATGGAGGGACACTCCATCTTCTACCACCTCTCAGGCAGCAGCCTGCACTCCCAAGTTCTACACGTCACCAGAACATAACCAACCGCAACACAATAAAAGCAGTGTTATACAAAATGGAAGGCCCGTAGTGTTTATTCTCTTACAGTAAGAATTTATCAATTTTTTTGAGGAATTTATTTGAAATTTTCTGGTTTTTGTTAATTGTGCAATAGAAAAATAATCATTAGATTAATTTTCTAAATAGTCATTAGAATAGTCGACTATTCGATAAAATAATCGTCAGAATAATCGTTTTAAAAATAATCGTTAACCCCCAGCCCTAGTGTTTGTGCATTCTTTTTTGGATATTATTTGTGCAATTGTTGGACAAAATGACTTGCTGTGGCATTAATTGGACTAATATATGGAGCTAGGATTGGGACAATATTCAGCGTAACTTGTACCAAGTTTTGTAACTTCGAACATGTTTCATCACATGTAACTTTGGATTCGTAACTTGTAACTTTAGTTTTCTAACTTGTAATTCTCAATTTGTACTTGTATTTCTTGTTTTGTAACAGGAACGTTGTATTTTGTACATGTATTTTTTATTTTGTAAAATCAAACTTTTATTTTGTACATTTACTACTCATTTTGTAACATCAAACATTCATTCAGAAACATGAAACTTTCGTTTTGTAACTAGCAGACTTCCAAATTGAAAAAAATCAAGGTACAAGTTTGAAATCAAAACTCTCAAAACACACATTTCATTCTACAGGTACAAACCTCAAATCTACAGTTACGGATCATTTTGTCTCAATTCTAGCGTCAGTGGGAGGAACTTGGGTGGAACCAATGAGAGCACGAGTCTTAGCTACCAATCACGTTTCTCGAATTCCTGTCCAATCATTGGGAGAGGAGGGCAGGGTTCTGTCAGAGCTGTAGAGAGAGTTACGACACGGAATGCGGGAGTCACGTGGTTCATGTAGCTTCGAATAGTTCCAAACAGCCCCCGCTGCTGCATTGACTGCAGTTCATTTTCGGTGTTTCGGAAGGATTTTCTCCGGTAAGTTGATGAAATGTCATCATTTTGTTGCATTGTGAAGCGTTAGCTAACCGCTTCATACCAAAATAAGCCAACGATGATATTTGATGTTGCTGGTTTTAGCTAGATAACCTTTAATGAGCTAACTGTGTGCAGCTTGTTGGTTGTGAGCAGGAGGATGAGCTGTAGACGGGTTTCTTTCAGTTTGTTTGATTCTACGTTTTAAAAATATTCCCCACAGTTTGAAATAGTTTATAAACTTTTTACATTATTTGTTTTATTTGGGATTTTTTGTACAATACGTTGCTGGTTGCTGTATCAACACGAACATGCATCAGAAATGGAAGCACAAATGGAGAGACCATGAATAATAAAGAAAATGTGATTGTGAAGACAAGTAATTATTTAATATTTTTCAGTTAATAACACTGACTACAACAAGCTGCTGAAGCATGAGACAAACAGGATAACGAACGTAAGAAGATATGTTCTGTTTTGTGGACTCAAGTAATAAGAATAAAATTAAGATATTTCAAGAACAGAAGTCGAACAATAACTTTTAAAAATTAGACATTTTCCATAAAACTGCTCATTTCCACTTGCTTTATAATATTAGCATTTGCAATTTTGTTATTATGGAATGACAAGAAATAAGAATTAACAATAACACAACTATCAATAAACAAATGTCAAAGAGTTACTAAAACAAAAATCTTATTTAACCATTAAAGGTTAAACTGTGTTGTGTGTCCATCTTCATGTTTTCATAGTGGCTGAGTGGAGAGCTGACCGGGAACAACGATGGTGGCAAATCCCAGTTGGGTCTGTGATGGAGTGATGCACGCCTGGAGTGATTGCCATCTCATCCACAGTAAGCACACACTCTCTTTCCATCTCTGTCAGATTTTTAACCTTCAAACTGAGCATGTCACACACCTCTCCCAACACACCTGGTTCCAGTT